AGAATAACAGACCACAGTGAAGGAGAGCATAATGTATATACAGTAATTAGGAAAAAGGTATAATCACCGAATGATATCGTTAATGAAAACTCACACATACATACATAATAAAAATACCTTTAACCTTTTACGTGAGGGTTTACATCGAAACAGTTTAATTGACAGATGTTACAACATACTGTTAAGGATTAAAATGCAGTTTAATACTCATTTCGTAAAAAAATATAGTACGTATACAATATCGATATAAACAACAAACAATGCAAGATTAAATGATAAAAAATAGGGTAATTATTAATCTTAATTAAACATCGTAACACGTTTATGCTAGTAAAAAAAAAAAAATCTCTAGCATATATTTGCAGCATTCGATTATCCTTTTGAACAAATAAAAAAAAAAAGGTAACGATACGTGAAACATTTAAAATTATTCGTATTTTTTCTAAAAAGAAAATAACTTGGCGCATAGGATATGCATTCTTAATAATACTCAATGGCGATAAATTGAAGAACATATACGTGGTAAAATGTATATGTATGATTTATAACACAAATAACATAAAACACTTTTACGCACAGTACGTATGAACCTATCAAATTTCAAATAATCCTTTTTAAAAAAATCAGGATACGTACTGTATGAAGCAAAATTGATCTTAACTAATTTTATTATTAATAGAATTTGTTGAACAAGAATTTTTTTTTTTTTTTTTGATTATTTATTGATAATTATTAAGTATTATAAATATTTTAACTGCAGAACTGGTACATATCAAATTCATAACGATATAATAGTTCATAAAAAAATTAACATTGTTTGATCGCCTCACATAAAATTAAAAAAATGATATCATTTTATGAAGGAGGTAACAAAAGGGCTTGGACATAACAATAAGAGCTGTGCCTAATGTAATTGTTTCAATAGAGGAGTTGGGCTTAAAGACGATTTAAATTTTACAGTACAAATATTGTTATTTATCAGTATATCTGTACGTAGCAGGGTTGAAAATACTATAGTGATTTGCCGGCCATTTACTGCGTCGATGCTTATTGTTTGAAGTATCTTTTTTGATACATCACTATCGAATAAAAATATATTATAAATATACCATAGATCAATAATGATACTTTTTGGATGGCCGGCAAATTACTATGGTATTTTCAACCCTGATCTGTAGTTACGCCAGTTGACATTGTTAAGGAATGTAATTTTATTAACGTCAATTCATTATTAACGTTAACGTTAATGTTTTTAACACTAAAGCTGGTATGTATGTTCATGTGATTCAATATTTTATACTACGTATATACTGTAAATATCAGATACGTACAGTACGTACGTAGCAGAACAGCAGTAGGGATTTGAATAAAATAACAACACGTGATACAAAATATAGAAATAGCAAGATACCAAGATAGTGATTTCGCCTTCCATTGTTCTATGGATACAGATAGTTACAGATAGTTATAGAAGGCAGCTCTTTCATTGAAGCAATTGGACATAATTGTAAACAAACTAGGTTTAAAAAAGCAAAGAAATAGAAACATAGCAAGATATTTGTTGATTGATTATCGTAGAACCGGAGATCCGATAATGATAATTATTGAAGTTATAATGATAATGATAACGATAACAAGTGCAAAGACAGGATTGAAAAATTGAGAGGATTTTTTTTGCACACGTATGTACTACATATATTCTAAACCTGTTTGTAATGAACTGTAAACATAATACAGTAATAATATTGATAATGATAAACTATGAAGCCTTGGATCCCGTGAGAAATAGATCTGATATTTAAATATATATATACTATATAGTTTCTAATCTATGCATGCTAACCCAAAAAGTATTTCTTTGTTAAAGGAACGAATGCAAAATATCAAAAGTCACGATGAATTAATGATATTATTTACATAAGTAGTGACGATAGCAGTAATGGTAACAATAACGACAGCAAGAACGATAACGATAATGGATATAAAAACAACTGATAATGTGATCTTCTGCAAGTACGTAAATGCGTTATTATAATTAAATAAACAGCCTTGAAGATCCAAAGTTTGAACAGAAGAGACTCAATAAAAGATACAAAATGGGACTTCATGATAATCAAGAATTTTTGTGTTGTAAACCTTAAGCGCGTGGAAATTTTTTAGCAGAATTAAATCGAGTTTGGAAATCAATAGGGCCAAGAAATTGCTAGAAAGATTAAGTATACATTTTTAGGAATAGGCAGAAAATAATTACGTGGAAGAATGTGAATAAAAAGAAACTCGCTTTAAAATAGTAAAAAGAGGGGATGTCAATCATGTGATGACCAAGAGTATTAGCTTTCAAGAAAAAGAAAACGATAAACGGTTTAATAAAACAAGTTACACGGATCCTTTGTACAAGGGAACGACATATTCAGCTAGCTTGAAAGGTTTAGTCAAATCCGATTGACTGGAATGAACGGATGCGTTCATTTACGCACATCAAATTATGAGTGACGGATCATTCTTGTCATACAGATCAATGTATGATTACAACATAACGATAATATCAATCATTTATATTTCTTTTCTCAAGTAACTCATAAATTTCACGATGAAATATATGAAATATATGAAATATATGATAATATATAAATATATAATCATATATCATATATATATCATATATCAAATATATACAAAATCGAAAATTTTATGAAATATCAAGCACATGATCGCGAGAAATCTAGAATCTTGAAAATATTTGTTTACATCATCTGATCATGCAAAAAGATAAGATTGAAAGATAAGAAATCAAGGGTACGGTTTCGGTATTAAAGGTAAATCCATACATGCAATACAGTAATATAAGTAATATAACAACATAGAAATACTGCAATACTACACACCTTAAGCATTCAAAGAATAGTTATTATATGATATGACTGACTAACAAAGGATTGGCGTGAAGATCGTGTGAGAAATGAAATAATTAGTTTTTGATAAACCGGAGGAATGATTAAGAAAGATTCGATGTAGAAAAGGTTTTTTTTGACAATCTGATTGAATCTTTACTTAATTTAGTAAAACGGTAACAATGTTGGTTGCACAGCATCGTGACCCCAAAGATATAAAGTATGTACGTACAAACAAACATTAAGATCAGTTCAAAAATTACTGAATTTATGCAGGTCTATATGTAGTGCTTTCTTCATGTATGCGTGATAAAGTACTATTATCATACAATAAAGGTTTATATATGAAACTATATACGAAGATACAATAAAGGTTTATATATGAAACTATATACGAAGCAATAACAGATAAACGAACCCATATCAGATATACGTACGCACGTACGTACGAGAGCTAAGAAATTTGTAGAAAATCTTACCTCTCTATCATCTTCTACGTATCAAAACTGTTATGTATGACATGTCGATAAATCCTGTTAATTTACGTTGGTTGCTGATAGATGAAAACTGGTTGTTTCTTATGATTTCACAAAATGTTGATCGGGAGGCTTCAAATTTATGTGTAAGTGCAAGAATGGATACGTGCAAGAATATGTGCAAAAGTACAGTACGTACGTACGTACTTACTTACAGCTTACGTGTTAAGGATACTTAACAATTAATCTTTACAAAAGGTAATGTTAATAATATAATAATAATGTACATATCTGTTAATATATACAGTATAATGTAAATACTGTATCTAGTAATCGCTATGCCCCCCGGAAGGTTACATATAGAAATTGTTACGTTGACCAATAAGAAATGGAGCTTTCAATTGAATTTAAATAAACAATATAAAGGATTGTAAATGTTCCAATCAAATCTGTATATGGCAAAAGCTACGTTAGACAAGTACAGAAGTACAAGAACGGTATTAATATAAAAAAATACGTATCAATTTTTTTTTTACTGATTTGCAATATTTATAGTACTGTATAAGTATTTACTATATTTACTATATTTACTCTATTTATTACTATATATTGTATTACTGTATTTTATTATTAACTGTACTTATTAACCGTATTTATTGTATTTATTATAGTATAAATAAAAATACTGTACTAATATAATATTTTAGTATACAGTAATACAGTAATACAGTAGTGTACTGTATTCACTGAATTAATGCTTGTTCAGCCCCTGGTATTTTATGTTGTTTATTTTAATAATAATAATAATCATAATCATAACACATCAAAGTTACTATTTCTACTACTGTTACTATGAGCTCAAAATAATACAAAAATGCGTTAAAAATTTGTCTAATGCCCTTCAAAAGATTCTCTTTTGGATTACAGAGAGAGAGCTGACTTCGTCGCTCATATAAAGGATTCGGTTTTTTCATTCCGCATTTATTCCAATTATATTCTTACCTAAAAATAAAAAAAAAAAGCCGCCGTTTCCTAATGTGTTATCTGCATTCCATATATCGTTGCTAATTTATACTATAAACCTTTATAGTTTAGTACCTCGATAATCTTACTTATGATAAACACATTCATCCTTCACCTTTAAAAAGCCTATTAAACTGGTTTCATTTTTCAACCAATTTTTTTTTTTTTTTTTTTTTTAACGAAAGTCGTCGTTTATTTTTTTTTTATTTTTTTTGTTTTTAATGTTTAAACCAATTCTATAGAAAAGAAAATAAAGACGACTCTCTCTTTTTTTTTTCCCTAAAAAAAAAGAACCTTGAAAAATTTTTTCGCACCTTTTTTTCTTTTTTATGCAATATATATTTTCGACCATGGAGTTCAGACCTTTGTGTTATTAAAATACGTGAAGAAAAAATAATAATAATAATCATCATCATAAATTTTATAATTACAATAAACCTTTTTCGTTGAGCGAAATAAGTATAAGAAAAAAAAAAAACTCAATCGATAAATATCTCGTGTCACAAACATCCACCCCACTCTTTCTGTTTATCAGCACATAGAAGAATATCCAAAGACTATCTCTACTTTATTACTCCTTTTTTATCGGATATTCAGTATGTTTTCATCTATGCCTCTTCCGCTCCCTGATACTGGTTCACTTTCTTTGTTCAAGGGTCCTTCATCAATGACTTCTCGAATAAATAATGATCTCTTAGGTGTACCGTCGTCTACCGGCTTTGATGAGTATAATTTAAAAGGCGCCAAAAGAATGGATGTATCTACTGCTCCTCCTAGTCCTGTAAATTGTTCTATTTCTATCGAAAGAAGAGTTAATTCTGCTGATATTTTACGTGTACGGCGAAATAGTGATAAAAGTCCTTTATTAAACAACAAAAGGCAATCCGATTGGTGGAAATCATTCTTATCTCGTATTCAACAAATCCCTTTTTTGAAACGGAACGAACAAAAAATTTCAAAAGATGTATATACTAGTGAAATTGATTTATCTGCAACTTCGAGATCAAGTTCAAGTGTTGATGTTCGAGCTATTAGTTGTGATAATAATATTGTCGTTGATCATGATAAGGATATGAATGCAACTGATAATTTAGATAATAACAATAATAACAATATTAATAATTCTAGTGTTGACTCTAATGTTACATTAAAAGGTTCTTCTGAGTCAGTTTTTGACGTCTGCGCTCAAACACCTCGACATTTCTCAAAGGAACCTGAAGTGTTAGGTAAAGTTGGTAGATTTACTATAGTTAGAGAAAGAGAAGATTTTAGTACTACTTTGTTTGATCAATGTCATTGTCAAGAAAAGCCCTGTCGTTTCTCTGCGAACGGTGGAGATCATCCTGTAATGCCACCAGAAACCTTACCAGATTTAATACCTTATACATCTCAATCTTGCATTGTTAACGAGTCCAGTCCACCGATAAGAATTCCTATTCATAAAGATTCTATGAATTTAGCATCTTATAAACTTTCTTGTCAACAATATGGAGCTCAAATGAGACAAAATTCTTGGGAATCGATTGCTCCTTATCGTCCAGGAGTCTCTCAAAGTTCTTCTATATATACACAAAATTCTTTATATACACAACAATCTTCAGCTGCAACATCTAGAACTTCTTTATCTTCATTGAAATATTCTACTGATTCATCAAATATAAATGTGACAAACAATAAGATCTCCACCTCTTATTCATCTGACTTGGCTCTTTCACGTAGTCGATCAAAGAATATTGTCAACAAATCTATAAAGCCACCATCACCTGTAGCTAATGGGCCTGTTAGATCAAAGAGATCATCATCAAGTAATATTAAATTATCGGATAATAATTTGTTACAGGAACTTTTGAATGATCGACGACAACAATTATTACCTACTACTACTACTACAACATCAAAGTTTGAGACTAATGAACCACATACTACAATTAGTTCTCATACTGGTAGAAAATTCGAAGTATGGAGTTCTTCGTCCTCAGAATCTGCATCTTCACCTTCATCTACCATGAGTAGTAGTATACTTAGCATGTCCTCGAGCCCTAATAATAGTTTATACTCATTACAAGGTACATCAACCCGATGTAGTACATTGAGCAGTAAACATGGTCGTAAATTTGAAGTTACCGTTATTTCATCTGGTAAAACTGAATAATCAAATAATGCTGGCAATTAAATTAAATTGATAGCAATTAGATTGATAGCAAATAGTTTGATAAAATTTTTTTTTTTTAATAACTACAAGAAAAAAGGAAAATCACATTATAATGTTGATATCAGATGATTGACTAGCCTAGGGTTATTATCTTGGCTATTTAAGGTGCATAATAGCAGATCATTTGAGACTTTTAGTAATAATGAAATGTAGTAAATTTTTCATGGATGATGACCTCTTAAAACAAGTATAAATATTATTTTTCAATAATAGATTGGTTCATTTTCATAATCAAAAAAAAAAACTTATAAAAAAAAAAAAACCAAAAAAAAAAAACTTCAAAAAAAAAACCCATGTAAATACTACTACTTTTATTAAAAAAAATTCGGTTCAATAGATATGATTGATAGACCATTTGGTTGATTTTCGAATCTCTAAATGTATTTCAGTCATAATTAATTCAATTTTGTATATATTACACATTTACATGTTCTTATGAGAGTATAATTCATTTTACAATATAAATTTTATTTTTGAAATTGAATATATTTATTGCTGATATTGATCCTCTCATTTTCAACATGTATTTTTTTTTTTTATTTATTTTTTTTTTTTGCTGAAGATGATTGAGGATCTATTTATTCAAGTGTAAATTAAAGATATATAATAATAAAAATAAGCTGATTCACAAAAAAAAATATCAAGTATCTTTCTTGTAAAAGTAAAAATGTTTCACTTTGGACAATTCCGCAGGTAAATTTCGAACATTTCAATAATAATCATTATCTGTTATAGGAAATATCCAATCATATTATAAAACTACTCGTGTACTAATTATTACAAATAAAGCAAAACATTTCGTTATGATGGTTCCTTAATTGTTTAGTATTGGAAACAATATAAAGCTCAATTCGGCATAGAATATCTTTATTATTTTTGTTCACTGATCCAGTTCCCAGACCATTCTTTCATTATGTCATAAAATACAAAAAAAGATTAGCATTTTATAGTATGTTAAAGGTTATTGCTTATTTAGGAATTCATACCTTTTTGTCTTATTATGCATACATGCACATACACTTCTCGAAAGTTTACCTATTAAAAGACATTTTCTATGGCTTTTTGTATATAAGTAAGTGGTAATACGTACGTACTATACGTATCGGTGTGTAAATCATTTATATGGATCGGGATCCACCGACTCAAATTATTATTAACGTTAAAATTTCGTTATTGTCGCTATCAATATTTTTAACGTTAAAATTTTTTATCTTTTTAAAAATTTGCTTATTTTCAAAAATAGTAAAAATAGAAAATTGTACGTATAGTTTATTAAACTTGATTTGGAATTTCGCAGTACGTATTGCAAGTTGTTATAAATATATATATATATATATCAATATATATATCATCATTTACTAATAATGATTTAGCAGATAATATGATATTCCGTAACACTCTATTTTTCACCGCATTATCATATTTCATCATGCAGTAACAGCAGTAATGCGAATATCTTGTCCAAGAACTTCACTAAACAACGTTACAAAAGCAACGAATAAAACTAATGTCAACCTTTCATTATATGCAAATCACATTGATAATATGCTTTATTAACGTATGATTGTATGATACTTATACATACAAGGTATAAAGTTTCGTTTTGAGAAACCTACCGGAGAATATCGTGCATATATTCGTTATTAACATACGTACTGTACATACCTTTGTACGTAATAGATTACCACAAATCCTTCAAGAGTAAGGGCGTATTCATACTTATACATATGTACGTAAAATGTATTACATGAATTAAATAAAGCATTTTAACAGGTTCTTTCGATATATATATCGATTTCTTATTTTAATTTAGCTGATATCACGCATGTTTCATGAGAATACCGTGACTAATAGTTATTTTGAAAAAAAATCTAGTCTCAGTAAAAATGTTAATATTTTAACGCAAGCTATTCTAAAAATAAAAATAATAATAATTTAATTACTTCTTCATGAAAATATTTTGGCATATGAAGCAATTTAAGTGCTACATCTGTATTTAGTTTATGATATATATATATAAAAAGATTTGGTTGCATGGGGTAATTAACGGGATGTATGCGTTACTATTCTAACTTAGAATTCTACACCGTGATTGCTATTGTAATTTTACATCAATAGTCAATAGTCTTTGTCTTTCATTCAAATAATTTAATCTTATTAAGTGATGTATAACTTCCAATAAAGATTGATTGGATTTTTCGTCAATGAAAAATTATGCAGAAGCAAATGCTAGATGCACGCGCAAAAAAATCTTTTAGAATTCGTTCATAGAAAGTGTTTACCTATTGGATAACTGATAATAAATATTTACAAATTTGGTTCTATGTCATGTGACCATGATTTTTAATGAATCTATCTCTATCGATATGTTTCTTTTTTTATTAAAATAGAAGCAAATACATATGAAGTTATACTTTATTTTTATCTAAAAATGTTTAAAATATTACTTAGATTATTCTTTTGGGCTGAAACCTTGATGCATTAAAATTCATTGCGCCAAACTATCACGTTATTAGCATTATAGCTATGCTATGCTACGCCAATCATCACATGATCATATGGCTAAGCTGCGTACGTATGATTACTAATATTTCGCTATCGCTATCGCTATCACTGTATGCGTTAGATTCGGGATCCATATTTATGCTATGAATCATTCCTTAGTTTGCGCTTGACTTTAAAGAAATAATAAAATAACGAAAGCATACAAATTTCTATAATCGGTAGATTCGATTTTCACTTTTTTTCCAATAATATGTTTATTACATAATTCGACTATCAATATTTGTGTTTTCATTAGCGTAATAACAGAATTACACTAGGACCTTCTCCATGGAATTATGTATGACAAACACAATACAAAAGAAATAGGCTATTCTCGAAAAAAAAGCAATTAATTACTTTTTAATTACTTTTTAACTACTTTTGTTAATATATCTTTACACAAAGTGCTTACAGATAAGGATCGATAAAGAAAAAAAAATTATGGTTGTGTTTGGTTTCACGAAAAAGTAACTGGCTTTTCAATAACACTCTTTTCGTATTCGGAAGATACCGATAAATTATTGTTAACACTAATTTTCATTACATTATGACTTTATTTCCTTTTTTGATTAATAAATTTTTTGTTACACTAGTGTCATTTTCTTTTACACTTTGAAATACATTCGGTTAACGTTAAAGGCATCACAGAAATATAGACTATTTTGGCGGGAGAATCCCCTGATTGAAATGCATAATCAAATAATATTGATACGTACAGTATTTTTAAATTGTACAAATTAATAACGATAAAAAAATTTCATACGTATTAAATGTTTAATATTTTTACACGTTTTTTTTTGTTTGCTGTAAAGGTTTTAATAATTTTAATAATAATTCTTGTTAATGATAAAATTATAAATAATATCGAAGTTTGATTTTTATAAACTTGTGCTATGTAAAACTATTAGTTCTTTTATACGTATTTATTATTATAAAAAAACGCACCAATGAACCCAAAATTTTTTTGCAAACCAAAATACTGTATTAAAAAATTACGAGAAAAGATTTTTTTGTTATCTAACAAAATATCTGCATGTAGTATGTTTAAGAATTTTATTAATAATAGCCAATCACATGGATTTTATAACCCATGATTTTACGAGTTCCTGCTATAAAATAAAATTAATCAAAAGCAATATTTTTAGTTTCAGCAAAATTTTATCTCAGACTTCGATGGTTTAAAAAAAGTTTTAAACCTAAAAAAACGTTTAAAAAACTGTTTAACCCGTTTTTTTACTATCCTATGTATGTCTGCGTCATAGCCGTAATGCCACTACTGCTGTACTGAGAAATGTCTGCATCATTATCGGAAACTTTATCGAATTCGATCATCAGATTCGATCATCAGATTTGATCATATCATGTGATCTTAAATTTGATTGGGCGGTAATAAAAAATCGATCTTTGAAAACTTAATATCGATAAAATCAAGATGCATTTAATGTATTATATTGACGAGGGTGGTAACCGTGTTTATACGCTCAAGGTAATCTTTAATTCTTATATCGATCCAAATTTTATGACATAATAAAAAAACTTTTATTCTTCTTTTAGAAACGTAGTCCAAGTGGTGGAATTACAAAATCTGCTCATCCAGCAAGGTTCTCACCCGACGATAAGTTTTCGCGTCAGCGAGTTCATTTAAAAAAGAGATTTAAGATTTTGCTGACAGATTTACCAAGCAAACCTATGTAGGACACAACTAGTGATCCTGGTAATAATGAAAAAGCCAATTCCGGCTTAGCAGGTCGATTTTTTTTTTCCTTCAAAATCGGCCGATCGATTTTTATAACAATAATTCTCGCGCAAGCTTTTGATAATTGCAAAAAAGTTTTTTTTTTTTGTAATTTCTGATTTTTCCAATATTCCAATAAAAAGAATAATTTTTATTTGTAATGTTTTAGATCCGTCAAAGTAGTGACTGGGCTCGTTTCAACTCGTATCTCGTGAATTAAGCTCAGGAGAGTATTCGAATTATATGATTGAATTATTTTTACTCGGTTTATTCAAGTTAATCAGTCACTAGTTGAAAGTCCAGTCACTGCGTTTAAGATCCTGACAATTCAAAATCTCGCCATATTTAAGATATTGATATTTGAGTATCACTTGATTAATATGATGAATATTATATAGTTATCGGCTGCTTCGCATCCAATAACTATATATTATGTATGTACGCACGTGCTCCCCGATTTTCGTATTCTATCTTTGCTGTATAGATCTTTTGTCCTGTTTGTTAAAGTTTGCAATGGTTTTTAAGTATATAAAGAAGAATATAACCGTCTAAAATTTTCTTAACCGTTTACAGCTGTTATCATAATTTCTGGGACACCTGATAAAAGTTTGCTGAATGATTTTTCGGCCGATTCGGTTATCGTTTACAGCTGTTTTCATAT